TATAATGTCCTTGAATATGATGCTTGATGATAATGACAGAGTAATTGTCATTATAATGTCCTTGAATATGATGCTTGATGATAAATGACAGTGAATTGTATTGTTCTAAATTATGAATAGAAACATTATAATGTCCTTGAATATGATGCTTGATGATAATGACAGTGGAATTGTATTGTTCTAAATTATGAATAGAAACATTATAATGTCCTTGAATATGATGCTTGATGATAATGACAGTGGAATTGTATTGTTCCATTATAATGTCCTTGAATATGATGCTTGATGATAATGACAGTGGAATTGTATTGTTCTAAATTATGAATAGAAACATTATAATGTCCTTGGATATGATGCTTGATGATAATGACAGTGGAATTGTATTGTTCTAAATTATGAATAGAAACATTATAATGTCCTTGAATATGATGCTTGATGATAATGACAAATTGAGGAATTGTATTGTTCTAAATTATGAATAGAAACATTATAATGTCCTTGAATATGATGCTTGATGATAATGACAGTGGAATTGTATTGTTCTAAATTATGAATAGAAACATTATAATGTCCTTGGATATGATGCTTGATGATAATGACAGAGTAATTATATTGTTCTAAATTATGAATATATTATAATGTCCTTGAATATGATGCTTGATGATAATGACAGTGGAATTGTATTGTTCTAAATTATGAATAGAAACATTATAATGTCCTTGAATATGATGCTTGATGATAATGACAGAGTAATTATATTGTTCTAAATTATGAATAGAAACATTATAATGTCCTTGAATATGATGCTTGATGATAATGACAGTGGAATTGTATTGTTCTAAATTATGAATAGAAACATTATAATGTCCTTGAATATGATGCTTGATGATAATGACAGAGTAATTGTATTGTTCTAAATTATGAATAGAAACATTATAATGTCCTTGAATATGATGTGATGATAAAGAATGACAGAGTAATTATATTGTTCTAAATTATGAATAGAAACATTATAATGTCCTTGAATATGATGCTTGATGATAATGACAGAGTAATTATATTGTTCTAAATTATGAATAGAAACATTATAATGTCCTTGAATATGATGCTTGATGATAATGACAGAGTAATTATATTGTTCTAAATTATGAATAGAAACATTATAATGTCCTTGAATATGATGTAATTGTATTGTTCTAAATTAGGAATTGATGATAATGACAGTGGAATTATATTGTTCTAAATTATGAATAGAAACATTATAATGTCCCTATGAATATGATGCTTGATGATAATGACAGTGTAATTGTATTGTTCTAAATTATGAATAGAAACATTATAATGTCCTTGAATATGATGCTTGATGATAATGACAGAGAATTATATTGTTCTAAATTATGAATAGAAACATTATAATGTCCTTGAATATGATGCTTGATGATAATGACAGTGTAATTGTATTATGTTTATAATCTAAATTATGAATAGAAACATTATAATGTCCTTGAATATGATGCTTGATGATAATGACAAATTGTATTGTTCTAAATTATGAATAGAAACATTATAATGTCCTTGAATATGATGCTTGATGATAATGACAGAGTAATTGTATTGTTCTAAATTATGAATAGAAACATTATAATGTCCTTGAATATGATGCTTGATGATAATGACAGAGTAATTATATTGTTCTAAATTATGAATAGAAACATTATAATGTCCTTGAATATGATGCTTGATGATAATGACAGAGTAATTGTATTGTTCTAAATTATGAATAGAAACATTATAATGTCCTTGAATATGATGCTTGATGATAATGACAGAGTAATTATATTGTTCTAAATTATGAATAGAAACATTATAATGTCCTTGAATATGATGCTTGATGATAATGACAGTGGTAATTATATTGTTCTAAATTATGAATAGAAAATTATAATGTCCTTGAATATGATGCTTGATGATAATGACAGAGTAATTATATTGTTCTAAATTATGAATAGAAACATTATAATGTCCTTGAATATGATGCTTTGATGATAATGACAGTGTAATTGTATTGTTCTAAATTATGAATAAAACATTATAATGTCCTTGAATTATATGATGCTTGATGATAATGACAGAGTAATTATATTGTTCTAAATTATGAATAGAAACATTATAATGTCCTTGAATATGATGCTTGATGATAATGACAGTGAATTGTATTGTTCTAAATTATGAATAGAAACATTATAATGTCCTTGGATATGATGCTTGATGATAATGACAGTGGAATTGTATTGTTCTAAATTATGAATAGAAAACATTATAATGTCCCTTGAATGATGCTTGATGATAATGACAGTGGAATTGTATTGTTCTAAATTATGAATAGAAACATTATAATGTCCTTTGAATATGATGCTTGATGATAATGACAGTGGAATTGTATTGTTCTAAATTATGAATAGAAACATTATAATGTCCTTGGATATGATGCTTGATGATAATGACAGTGGAATTGTATTGTTCTAAATTATGAATAGAAACATTATAATGTCCTTGAATATGATGCTTGATGATAATGACAGTGGAATTGTATTGTTCTAAATTATGAATAGAAACATTATAATGTCCTTTGAATATGATGCTTGATGATAATGACAGTGGAATTGTATTGTTCTAAATTATGAATAAACATTATAATGTCCTTGAAAATGATAAATGTCCTTGAATATGATGGAACTTTAATGACAGTGGAATTGTATTGTTCTAAATTATGAATAGAAACATTATAATGTCCTTGGATATGATGCTTGATGATAATGACAGTGGAATTGTATTGTTCTAAATTATGAATAGAAACATTATAATGTCCTTGAATATGATGCTTGATGATAATTGGAATTGTATTGTTCTAAATTATGAATAGAAACATTATAATGTCCTTGAATATGATGCTTGATGATAATGACAGTGGAATTGTATTGTTCTAAATTATGAATAGAAACATTATAATGTCCTTGGATATGATGCTTGATGATAATGACAGAGTAATTATATTGTTCTAAATTATGAATAGAAACATTATAATGTCCTTGAATATGATGCTTGATGATAATGACAGTGTAATTGTATTGTTCTAAATTATGAATAGAAACATTATAATGTCCTTGGATATGATGCTTGATGATAATGACAGTGTAATTGTATTGTTCTAAATTATGAATAGAAACATTATAATGTCCTTGATATGAATATGATGCTTATATTATATTATGATAATGAATGACAGTGTAATTGTATTGTTCTAAATTATGAATAGAAACATTATAATGTCCTTGAATATGATGCTTGATGATAATGACAGAGTAATTATATTGTTCTAAATTATGAATAGAAACATTATAATGTCCTTGAATATGATGCTTGATGATAATGACAGAGTAATTATATTGTTCTAAATTATGAATAGAAACATTATAATGTCCTTGGATATGATGCTTGATGATAATGACAGTGCAATTGTATTGTTCTAAATTAGGAATGGAAACATTATAATGTCCTTGAATATGATGCTTGATGATAATGACAGTGGAATTGTATTGTTCTAAATTATAAATAGAAACATTATAATGTCCTTGGATATAATCACTTTCCATCAATGACATCAAACATTTGTAATAGATGTTTGAATTTATCAGCATTATAATTTAATTTGGGTGAGGTGAGGGATGAGCAAGATAAAAGATACCATCATGAGATTAAAGTTAAGCTAGAACGGTATCCAAGAAGATGGATAAATGATAAATGACTTTTGCTGGAACTTAAAACTGTACAATTCTCCCAGGCATTCAATAATATCAAATAAGCAGAACGTCTTGCAATAGTTACCAATTTTTCCTAGTATTCGAATTTTCATAATTTACCATGTTATGGTTCTTTTATATTTCAGAAGTTCATGTTTATATTATACTAAGTATTGGATGCTGATCAGTCACGCAAGTGATAGTCATCAACCTATCAAAGATTCTTCAGCTAGACAGTCTCCCAAGTTAAAGTCTTGTTATGCCATAATACCTATTCTATTGTAATGGACTCTCCCACAGACAATAAGTAGTAGTAGCAGTCGCCAGTTCAGCTCAGTGGTGTTGAGCAAGTCAGTCGATATCGGACATTGAAGTACCAACCATCACAACTAGATGGCTGTATCATTAACTCTTATTTCAAGTTCCTAACGTTTTGTACATCGAACATAATTTAGGACGACTTATTGAAATACAAGCCTCCACTGTGAAAACTACTCTACAACAAGTCTTTTGCTGAACAAAGATTGTTGGTATAGGCAATCACCAAAGCCAGAGAATCAATTTATTCAGTCTGCTCTACTATAATAACACAATTGTCTGCTATTGATTGGTTTAAAAAGTGGCTTCCTTCTGGTTGCTCTGTCACAATTATCCAGAAATTCCACTGTTAGAAAATGGTTTTCCAATGTTTGAATAAGTGATAATGCTAATGTTGTATAAGAATTTAGTAGGGAAGTGAAAACACCTTACTCATCAAGACGATGGCTTTTTAACTATGGCTTCACAATAACTTGTCACTGTGCGGAAAACGATTTCAAAAAATTAAAGAAGTTTAGTTACATCAAAATACCTTTTCTATTCATTAAACTCGAGCATAGAAACAATTCAGGCCACTTGCAAACTATTTCTAGTATAAAAATTAAACAAGTACTGGTTGAAATCTGAAGTTGCTTAAGAAAAAAAAACTCATGTAAATAAATATCGACAGATTCATGAACATAACTTACTCTTGTAAATTTCCCATTCTTACCTGTTGCAGCATCTTTGTTTAAAGTGGCTTTCTTCTGGCTGCTTTATGATAGAAATACTATATTGTTTTTACCTGATGCAACATCTTTGTTGAAAGCAACAAAACTTGAAAGTGGCTTTCTTCTGACTGCTCTTACCTACATGATGAAAATACTATATTGCAGTTCTTACCTGAAGCAACATCTTTGTGTTTGTTGAAAGCAGCCAGAGGAATGTATGGTCTCCGAATATCCCAGATGTTCACAGCAAAATCCACGAGGAGGGAGCTGCTGGCAATTAGTTGTTTGTGCTCTGGACGCCACTTACATTTAGCCACGGAGGCCATTGTGTGGACAATGTGGACAAGCTTCCGTGAAGGTAAATCCCACACCTAGACAGAAAGTAGTGGAGGATAAAATGTACATTATATATATGAAGAAATATACTCTTAAGGTGTACTATATTTATAGGATAAAGGGCTCAATACCAGAGATAGAGCATGTGTAAATATAAAAGTGAACATTTAATCGGTACTGATACATAAAAGCGAGCAATGGATAAAAAATACTTATGACTACTTTGACATCACAATGGGATCACTAGACTCAGCTGAGTCTTCTGACCTTATAGGTCTTTTTATATTATACAATCTCACAGCATATCATGAAATTAATATAACTGACATTGGTTTATACAGAAACGATGGACTTATGGTTATAAAGAACTCTACTAACTTTAAAATCAATAAAATTAGAAAGATATTATATAAAGAATTTAAATGCCTGAACTTAAAAATTACGGTAAGCACTAAATTAAAAAAAAGCTAACTTCCTTGATATAACATTAGATTTAATGAAAAATGTATACATACCTTATAAAAGACTAATAGTAATATTTTGTATATACACCCTAAATCTAATCATCCTCCATCTATAATTAAGCATCTACCTTTATCTATCGAAAAAAGAATAATTACAAATTCAGCAAATGAGAAGATTTTCTATGAACATATTAATTTCTATAATAAAGCTCTAAAAAATAAAGCCCAAAACTAACTTATATAAAAAAGGAAAATGGAAAGCATAGAAAAAAACAGAAGTAGAAAAATAATTTTGTATACACCCCCATACAACCAAATGGTAAAGAACAAATTAGGATAAAAAATTCCTTGCATTAATCATTAAGCATTTTCCTAAAGATAGTAAACTAAGTACTATTTTCAATAAAAATACACTAAAAGTCCGACAATTATTTTAAGACATGTATAAACATAAAAATGTCTTAAAATAAAATTAAGTTACAATTGTACTGAAAACTTAGAAAAAATTATTAAGAAACAATGCTAAGATCTTGAATAAACACTTAGACTAAAACCAAAGAAATTTAGACAATATAAAAATAAAAAGAGATGAAGATAAACAAAAATTATGTAACTGTAGAAATCCTCATAACTGTCCTCTACAAAATAAATGTCACACAGAATCATTAGTATACCAATGCAATATCTCATCTATTGACAATCCTGAAAACATAAAAATCTATATAGGTTGCACAAGCCATGATTTCAAAAGAGATTCAATCAACATCAAAATTCATTTAGGATAAATAAATACCGAAATCAGACGTTCCTGTCGAAATATTTCTAGCACTTAAAAGAAACCAATAAAACACCTACAATAAAATGGAAATTAATAAGAAAAGCTAGAATACGTAGGTCATTAAATGATCCACATCCTTTGTGCATACATGAGAAACTATATATTACTAAGTTCATAAAAAATAAAAATTTACTGAATCAAAGAAATGAAATAGCTATTGTTTGCCGACATTGTCAAAAATTTTCCTTAAATAATATTTAAAAATAAAATAAAAAAATAAAAAAATGGGAGCCGGTAATATACATACTTATATTTGATATGTAACAATAGTTTTTAAATAATTTAAGTAATTCTATTACATTTATTTGATTTAAAAAGAAATATAGTCTATTAGTAAAAATATTTTAAAATTGTAGTTCAATATAACGTATTCTAACCCAAACACCACTTTTAGAAAGAATCTTTAAGTATGCAAGTACGAATTTAACAAAAATTGCCAAAAACTTTTTGTCGTTGATAAAAAAAAAAACAGACAACATGCTTCATTAAAAAATGCACCCTGACCCTCCCTAAACTTAACCTCTTTTTTGAACGCAACTCATAATTGATATAATAATAGTTGATAAAAATGAAAACGCTACTGCCCATGTCTAAATGATTGGATTTCTCTGTATCCTTGGAAACAAAAAATTATGGATTGTATGTACGTTTAAACTCAGTAAATTTAAAAATAAGTTATTCCAAAATTTGCTTGAAGATGAAACAGAACTAATGCCTTTAATTTAATTATGTAATTAAATTTGAAGTTTTTAGCTTCGGTTTTTGAAACCTGATAATTCCTGTGTAGCGAAGAAACCATATTTTAAACCAGTTAATTTATAATATTAATGCTCTGTAAATTTACATTGAGCACTGTTTTGTAAAAATAAAAAATATCAATATGAACACTGGATTATATATCTTACTGTTCTTTTTTTATACCTGGCTGGAGAGAAACCTGACAAAAGTCAGACATCATAACAGCTGAAATGTTGTGATAGTAACAACAAAGATGGGGATATTAGTCAAAATGTAAAAAAAAAAAAAAAAAAAAAAATGGTTAATCCTCAATCCAAAAATTTACACAAAAAAAAAAAAAAAAAAAAAAATTAAGAGTTAATACTTACTTTAATTGCCCTGTCTCTTCCCCCAGTTGCAAGCCAGTTCTTATCGATGGGATTCCAGTCTAATGTAAATACTGGTCCAGTGTGGGCTGTTATTTCTCTTTCTGGCCGATCAGGGCGCCGGATATCCCATTCCTGGAATGGAAGACCAGAATATTTTGTCAGATCTTCTATTACTGCTGTGTAGAATACTTAACAACATAAAGTAGAAAAGAATGGACAGAAAGAAAAAAAAAAAAAAAAAAAGAACTAAAGTCCAACGATATATTTGAAGGTAGAACGAAGGGAAAAAAATAATTTTTAAATTTGTCTTTGAAGTTACAGCACACCCTCTCTTTCATGCACATATGTAATCACATCGACATCACTTCAGTCCAATGGAATCTTAACAGACGAAATGTGTCGCATGAAAGGTTTTTCCCCACTTCCTAAAATTGTTCTGAATTTTATGGTAAGGTTCATCCTGTATAAGGCACAGCGACCACTCGAAGTACAGGGTTACATTAAGAGGCAGTTTATACAGAGAGGAAGATAATGGTTAACCCTAGACTTGAACAGGTTAAGATTGTAGTGATTGGGAAAACATGCTCTTGGGAATCGGTCCCACAGAGCAGTGGTTTACAGGAAGAAGCAGTTTGCGCAGAACAGAGAGCGAATGTGGGTGGTTGGCTACAATGAGAGTGGCATGGCAGGTCCTAGCTGTGAAAGTTAGAACTAACGGAACAAAGGAATTACTACAAGTGTAAATGGTTGACAATGATTCATCTAATAAAAATTCAAGATTATTAAAAGTAAAAGAAAGCAAGTAAAATGAAGATGAAAGAAATACAAGGTAAAAATGAAAAAATAATGGTTGAAATGCTTGAATGAATAAATAAAAAAAAAGAAAAAAAATTATGATAACATAAGTATAATGAGATACTTTGCTTACCTGTACAATACCATTTTCAAGTCCGGCTGCAAATCGGAAATAACCGTCAGTTTGTGGACAAAATTGAACATCACGCACACTCTCCTTGCCACTAAAAGTTGTTGTAACTTCCTTTCGACGGGTATCCTGCCGATAGTAAAAAAAAAAAGTAAATAAAAGCTTTTTTTTCAGTAATGTAAAATTTATATTTTTCCTTCTTTATTATTGAAATATTACTATGACTGAAATATTACTGTCATTGAAATATTACTATTATTGAAATACTGAAAAAATTTCCAGCATGTTTTGATAGACTCTTTTTCTTGTATGTGCTGTGACCCTACAGGACCTGTGCGATCATAGCTCTCAACAACTTTGTATCTTCTGTAGTCCTTAATATTTGTTCTTTTACTATTCATCCCAGTTCCGTCCATTTATATACTGTGTGTCTCTTGTCTTTGACGTAACCTAAGAGTGTTAAATTTTCTAAGCCTTCTTTCCTCATTGTTTCCTAGCAATTTCAAGTGTCTTTTTCAGATTTGACGTACAAAGGTCCTTTTCATTTCCCATTTTTCTTAAAACTTCCTCATTAGTTACATTCCCCATCAATGGTATTCTCAGTAGAACCACATATATTACCATAAGTCTTCATTATGAAGAAATTACCCTGCCTCCATTGTTATATGAAAGGATTGATATTACATAGCAATTCAGCACTCTTTTCTTTGTTTCAAACAAAATTTTTGTTTCATAATAATTTGCTTAGCTTCTGAAAGGCATCTTGCGCTATTCCAATGCACTTTCATGTTTTATGATCAATATTCCCCATCCTGTCTTAAAACAATTCCCAGATATTTAAACTTTTGGACGCGTTTGATTTTGACATCTCCAAATCATAGTACCCATCTTGGAATTCTTCTCTTGCAACCTGTCTTCTTACAATTGATAGTTAGTCCTTTCTTCTCACTTTTTTTTCTTACCTTGTCTTGTAGGTCCTGTAATTTTCTCTCTGTGTCTACCACAAACACAATGTCATCTCTTACTTGTATAAATTCCCAGCATCATTATTCAGTCAACAAAACCTCTTCCTGCGTTTTTCACCATTCAGCAAAACTGGGTATTACATTATAAAAGAGTGATTCCGGCTTTAATTTGATGAATGTTTTTACTTTTATTTTATTTTTTTTTTAAATTTCCCGTTGTTGACGTAGTTATACATCTTTACCAAACTTATGTTCCCTGCTGTTGACATATGCATACATTTACAAAACATAATTATAGGTCTTTACATATTAACCCATAGGTGGGAGATGTGGATTCATGCCTTTTCCCAAGGGTATTTGTGCATAAGTGAATATAACGAACCCGACTGGAATTAGAACTGGTTTCTGATTAACAATTCCAAGCCATGATATCACTTGCACATCCAAGCTTATAGCACCTGGTATTCCCAAGCAGTCCCCCATCTACGTACTGACCAGGCTCGATGTTGCTTAACTTTAGTATGGGAACTGGTGTTTCAATATAAGGTGGCCATAAGCCCCTTTTGGCAAGTAAGTTTACATAACTCATTTTCTTCTATCTTTCTCTCCCACACCCCAACCTCAACATCCTTTATGGCTAGTCAGTTATGTGCCATGCGTGATACATGCTTAGACGATCATATATCATTCTGACAGGCATATTTTTTCCCGCAGTAGGTTGCCGTTTCTTTCTGCAGCAGACCAGTTGCCATCCAAGGCTATAAAACCCGGTCTGTCCTGCTATTTTCCCATAGCAGGTGAAATGGGGGAGAAGAAGAAGATTCATACCTTTCTCATGGGTATCAGCATGTAAGTGTATGTAATGGATTCGATTGGAATTCGAACTTGGCTCTCCAATTCCTCAATACCAGCAGCTATCCATTTCTCTACCATTCGCTGAGTGCCCTTTGCTGTGGTGATGTTGCTACATGCCTTACTTCTTGCCTATCTCACACTGCAAATTTTTTCTAAGCTCTATACTAAACATTAAATCTGTTATGAAAAAAGAACTAAACAAAATGAACACAAAACGATCAGCTTTAAAAAAGGACTCGTAACTGGAAAAACCGAATGAAAAAAGAATGTTAACAACAAATACTTTTTCACACCCAACCCAGTTCTGCGGAATCAGAATCAACGTTGAGTTTAAGTAAGCAAATGAGCCAATTGGAGTAAAGTGCCATGCAGATTTAAATTTTTCCCACTTGTGACGGATACAGCTATCGATTTTTTTTGCATGCTAGCATGCTAGTTAACATTTGTGTGAGTCAGCTGTTGGTTCTCATGCTGGCCAATAGAATCTTCCTGTCTATTTGTGGCAGCCAGTTATTGGCTCTTACTCTTGCCAGTACAAAATGGCTGCAAACTACATGAAAACTGCCATAGAAGCATGAAAAAATCAATTATTTGCACTATTGATGGAAGTTGGGAAATGCAAAGTCGGTCTTGGCCTTCCCACTAACTTGGAGCATGTGTATGTAAATTTTGGTGCAAATCCATCAAAATTGTGGCCGTGCATTCATTACACACACACCCTACCTTTTATAGATAGATATATGGGTGTATATATACATATATATATATATATACATACATACACCAATCATATACTTGCGTATATATATATATATATATATATATATATATACACAATCATATATATATATATATATATATATATATATATATATATATACTTCAATCATATATATATATATATATATATATATATATATACCATGCAATATATATATATATATATATATATATATATATATATAATATATATATATATATATATATATATATATATATATATATATAACAAAAAAAATTTTGAAGCTATATACATAAAACAATTGAAACCTAACCTGAACAAAATAATCTATGAAATATCCACAAATATTCTTAAATGCCTATAATTGATAACAGAAGCCAATGGTTTATACCAACGGTTTCACATATTTAATACTTCTTGTTTTCACTCTCGCGTGGTCATGTGTGACATCATGAGCTGTGACGAGATTTTTGCTTCCACGTCTAGTATACACGAGTTTGTTGTTGCTTTGAAATTTTTCATGCAACAAAAACAGACTATCATTATTGTTTCGTGCGTGTATTGTTTGATAGACTGAAATGTAATTGTCATCTTTGATAATGGCTTATGTAAGTCGAAAGCTTAGATTGGATTTAAACATGTATCAATATGGTGATTTCCTTTCATCTTTCAATGATAATGTTATTAACCTCATCAGACAATATGAAAGGAACTTACTTAAAATAAATGGACAAAACCTGTCTATATTATTTAATGAAACATGCATCAATGAAAAATTGCTGTCTATATATATATATATATATATATATATATATATATATATATATATGAAATATATATTATGAAATGGACAATAATTTTAAGTCGTTTTTATGTTTATACATTCTTTTTTATAGATACAAATATTTTAGTAAATGCTCTGTTTATAATAAACAGTATTAAACAACATTTACCGGCCTGAATGTCCGAGAAATTGTCATAGAAAATATGTGTTCTCCGACAGGAATCGAACCTGTATCCTAGACGGAACTGTCATATAGCAAAACCATAGTTTAAAAACAGTAAAATCGACTTTGCTATAAAAAAGAATGTATAAACATAAAAATGTCTTTATATATCTTCCAGCTTATACTTTATATTAAGCTTAACCCTTTCATGGCTCCTCCAGCTTATACTTAACATTAACCATTTTATGGTCTCAGTGTCACACTAGTAGCATTGCAAGTAACCGATGCCCCTAGAGTACTGAGGACTAAATATTTTGGTAAGGTTTCAATGTAATTCAGTTACGTAGAAGAGGATTCATACCTTTCCCAAGGGTATTAGCATGTAAATGAATTTAATGGATTCAACTGGAATTCAAACTGATCTCCGATTCCTCAATCCCAGCCGCTTATCCATTACTCCACTGTGCCTTCTCGCCTTTACACCCACAGGTTAATAATAAAAAAAATGGCAAAAAAGAAAGAGTTGAGCTTACAAATATTTTCATGTCCCCATCTTGGGAGCCACTGAGCAAAAGAAATGGTTCTTTGTTGTGGAAAGTGACGCGATTCACTGTTCTCTTGTGAGATGTGTACACATCACCTGTCGCAGGAAGAAAACGAGAAAAAGAATATTAATTTTACATTTAAATGAAGAATGGCATATTTTTATTAGTAATTTTAAAAGGTCAAAGCAAAAAAAATAGCAGCAGGCATTTTTATTAACCCTTTGAACCCAGACCTCCAGATGAGTACGATATATTGTACTTTACCGTTTCCTTTGTCTGCATGTACTTTGGTTTGTTTTGTTTTATGGCATATCAACCTCAATTGGTTATTTAATGCTGACAATTTTTATTGCTGATAATATTTTTTTTTCAAAAATGTATTGCTGGTTATAATTTTTTTTTTTTTTTTCACAAAGTATTTTCGGTATTAAAACCTATTTTTTATACTTTCATAGTGTTTTGACTCCAGTTTGGCGTTAACTATTTGCCCATAGCTGGGACCCTAACAAGTGCTACCACCCCAAGTCAGGGTGGAACTGGGAACACCAGCAATTAAGAGGTGGTTAACGCTCCTCAAAACTGCTTGATCAGTGGCTTTGCTGTTTGACAT